CATGTAAGGTGTTTAGAGCAAATGATAGATCTCTGGGCCGTCATGGTTCCCCTTGCATGGCCCTAAGTTCCTCTATGCATAACGAAATCAAGACAACACACCCAAAATTACAGACCAATAGAAAAGATGTTTATGGAAAGTGCTTGCTCAAGGGTTTGATGGTTAATTGCCATGGTTAAGGGATAAGGTTGGTTGGAGGGATAGCATAAAATGTTAACATTAGGTTAAATTTCAGTGTTAAAGCTGAACCCCAGGCACATAGCAAACATAAATAAAAGGTGTGTCTTCTTAAGAAAGCAGCCACAGCCTACGTAGAAAGGACTATGCCCTGCCAGCAGCAAAGTGGGTCTTTTGCTTTCTGCAGAATTCCCACACACCCTGATAAGTCAAACCTACAGCTATGCAAATCAGCAAAGCTCATGTTTCCTGCTGATTGGAGATCTCTAGCTCTAAGCCAGCAGAGGGGCATGTCAGACCTCTGCAGAGAGGCCACTGCTTCCACACAGAGAACATGGTCCTTTCTCTACAGCATGCACGCAGGGCATGGGCTTTTCTACTCATGCAGTGGCTGCTTTCTAAAGAAAAGGAACTGTGATACATGGCACATGGTTTATTTTGATGCATCTAGAATGTATATAGCAAATTTAAACTGACAGTTCAGCTGGCTGTTGGCTACATTTACACTTGAGCGTCGGCGTCTTTAGTCATTTGTTGCGCATTTGTACATGTGTTTTTAGTACGTTTTCAGTCTCGAGTGCTTTTGTTTCAGCAATGGAAAGTTGATTGGGGCCAAAATGTACAATCACGTCCCAATGAAGCTCCTGTACTTTTTCTAAGCGCCGCGCCTCAGATGTGAACGCGCACAATAATACAATGTCATGCAAATCTGCATGTCAAACGTTGAAGCGCTTGTGGAAATGTGTTTCAAACTGCTCGAGCGTAAATGGGGGCTTCCAAGTCCACTGGGACCACTCAGTAAACCTTAATTAAAAAAACATGTACATTACCCCCGAGAGACAACAATTCCCTTTTATTGAATTTAGATTCTTGAAACAGCATTCTAAAAGGCTTAGAGAACCCGTGACTGTACAAGCTGGCATATCTTGGTAGCCAAGGGAGGCCATGAATAGACCACTGGTGGTCCAAACTGACATCAGTCCACTGGGCCATTCAGTAAAGCACAATTAAAAAACAGTGAAGGGAATTTATCAAAACTGGAGCAGACAAAATCAGGAGCAGCTTGGCATGGCAACCAATCAGCATCCACCCATTTATTTTCACACCTTAAAAGGTGGCCATACACTTTACAACCATCGCAAGACCTTAGTCTTGCGAGGGTTGTAAAGTAATTAAAAAAAACGTACGATCTGCCCATCTTGGACAGGCAGATCGTACTCTCGATCATCACAAGCCCGCCCCGCTGAGGGTCGGGCTTCCGATGACCGCAAAGCTGAACGGGCAGTGTGCACGTGCGCACACCGGCCCATTCGGCATTTGTCTCCCGAGCACCGTTCAAGCGTGCTCCTTAGACAAAAGACGTGCGACCGTACAGTAGAAACGGTCGCACGTCTTCGTTCACACTGCTCGATTCTCATACGATCGCGGGATTTCCCGCGATTCTCGTACGAGAATCGAGCAGTGTATGGGCACCTTAAGGCCTTGTTCACACCAAATGCAGAGAAGATCTGCATGAGTTTCTGCACACGCAGTGCAGTGGGTTGGGCTGCATTTTTGCCACGTTTTTGATGCGTTCCAGGCCGTTTTTGTTTCAAAAATAATAATTTTTTTAAAGTTTAAAATGGGCTTTCAGTGCGTTCCAGGGTGTTTACATGCGTTTATGTGTTTACATGCATTCCAGAGCAGGTAAAATAGGGCCTGCTGCAGTTTTTTTACATGCTCCGGAACGGAACGCTGCGATGTGAACTGGAGCTAAAAATACCATTGGAATACATTAGACGCAGTTTTGCTCCAGTCTGTAACTGTTCTGCTCTGCTCCTGGAACGCGCTTGGTGTGAACAAGGCCTAACTGAACAAACTGAAGAGAGAAGCTGACTGGTTGCCGTGCACAGCTGCTCCAGATTTTATCTGTTGCAGTTTTGGTAAATTCCCCCAGTGTATATTACCCCAGAGAGCCAACAATTGCCTTTTATTGCATTTAGATCCATGAAACAGCATTCTGAAGACTTAGACAACCCATGACTATACAGCTGGCATATCTTGGTAGCCAAATGGCAGCATAAATGTACCACTGGTGGTCCAAAGTGGCATCGGGCCACTTCAGCAAAGCACAATTAATAAACAGTGTGCGTTCCCCCAAGAGGCCACAGTTCCCTTTTATTGCATTTAGATCCATGAAAACAACATTCTGAAGCCTTAGACAAACCATGACTGTACAACTGGCCTATCTTGGTAGCCAAAGGATGGCGTGAATGGACCACTGGTGGTCCAAAGTGACAACAGTCCACTGGGCCAATTCAATAAAACACAATTAAAAAACAGTGTGCATTACCCCACAGGGACTACAATTCCCTTTTATTACATTTACTCCATGAAACAGCATTCTGAATGCTTAGACAAACCTTGACTGTACAACTGGCCTATCTTGGTAGTCAGAGGATGGCATGAATGGACCACTGGTAGTTCAAAGTGACATCAGTTCAGTGAAGAACAATTAAAAAACAGTGTAGATTACCCCAGAGGGACCACAAATTCTCTTGTATTGCATTTAGATCCATAAAGCAGCATTCTGAACTGTTTCTATGAGTTACTGTACTAAATAAGCATTCATGATCGGATGACGGAGACATCTGGAGCCTATGGACGGGGCACGTCTCCTTGGCACTACAGACCGGATACCTGCTAATCCATTTCTGGAAGTGAAAGGGTGCCAAGACACTGCTTGCCCTATGTGTCACCGTCACGCACCGCCTTGACGTCATCGTGCGCACACACCTAATCTAGGTCCTGGAAACTCTACCGTGCTTTAACTGTCACAGAAGCAAGCGTTAACTCGTGCGACGCCAGGAGCACCTAACTCTGAAAGACTATATATAAAGACCAACGGTCTCTATAACAATGATCTGAGATACTTCCTGTATACATAAACCAATACTCTACATGTCTCAATTTACACAGTGGAGGAATCTGCACACTCATTGTCACCACACTAAAAGTGGCGAAGGGTGGGCGTTCATAAATGGCCTTCTACACATAACACAGAGAATTCAGTGTAATTCAGAAACGTAGCATGCAGCAGGTCCAATGTCAGCAGCATGAGATAATCACAGACAAAGACTTTATGTATATAGAGTTGGAGCATTCAGTTATAATCCTTGTCCCTAACAACACACACACAGCACTGATCGCTCCCATCAGCCTGCTGTATACACAAGGTCCCTCTGTCTGCCATAAACTGTAATCTGGTGTCAACAGCTTGCTCCAAAGTCCAACAAGCTGCCACTTCCTTTGTTAGTACCACACTGCACCTTGCGCAATATGGTGAGAGCAATCTGTGACCCCCCCCCTACACATCAGCTGACCTGAGAACGAGCCTTGCTGGGGCATCTAGTTCCATTGCAATCACAGAAAAGATATATAAATAACTTTATTGCAATAGGTGATGATTGTTTAGTCATCATGACGTATAGGAAGGTGTATAGCAGGCTTAGGCAACCCGTGACTGTACAGCTGGCCTACCATGGTAGCCAAGGGAGGCCATAAATGGTTTAAAAATACCACTGGTGGTCCATAATGACATCAGGTGATGACCCACATATTGGGGGTTACCCCAGGGGGTGAGAACAGGAGCTGTCAAGCATCTGTGCCAATGGTTTAAACCTAGTATTCTTTTCCCCCAAAAGAGTAGTTGATGCTTGGAATAGACTTCCAGCAGAGGTATTGAGCCAGTTAAACACTTGGGGCAAACATGTATCTACACGGAAGCTCAACACACATAACAATGTCATTTTACAATCTCCTTTAGATCTACTGACAACTACATAGTCCAAGAGCTTGGTTGATTGGAGGGATTAGATAGGTCCTCATAGCTTTGGTAAATCTAAAGTATATATATATATATATATACATACATACATATACATATACATATACATACATACATATACACACACACAGTATATATAAATAAAACTGACGGGCTCAACAGACCACTTGGTTATTTTCTGCCATCACAATCTACGTTTCCTGATCTCATTAACACGAGACAATGTCATTGGCCGCGTTCGTGCTGCATTTATTTTTAGGCTGAATGACAAGACACAGAAGCTGATATTGTCAAATTTGAGTACAGGCACGCATCTCTCTGTCAGTCATTTTTTGGTCAACATCTATCTAAGGCCTCCCAAAAGCTATGCTGAAACTTGTAGTCCAAAAAAAAAAAAAAAAGAAAGAGAAATGATACAATTATTGCCTTTTTTGCCATAAGCAATCATAGACTGATCTGATTAGGATGGGTGCCCTCGCCCAGGCCCCGATCATCAGATCACAAGCAGTTTGGAGTACAGTCAGTGGTACTCATACCTCATGGAGGGCTCAGGGGGTACTAAACACACGGTTCTAGCTTCCTAATGGATGGAGTTTACACAGTAGATACGTTGTCACAGTTTGTAAACACAAGAGTTCTCCTGGATATTGTATTATTATTGTTGTTGTTATTATTACTACTATGTACTATTATGTTATTATTACTATACAGGATTTATATAGCGTCAACAGTTTGAGCAGCACTTTACAACATAAAGGGAGGCGGTACAGTTACAAGACAAGGATACAATGAATCTATACTATAGAGACTACACTATAGAGAAAGTTCTATACATAGGAGATACTTTGTTGCCACACAGGGATCTCACAGACACAACATAAATGTATTGCAAAGTGTTACTTTCGAGGCTTCCAACACGCCAGGTCTCTGTGAACTTTTCTCGGGTGCCCCCCTTTCTTTGTACACACTCCATGCCCCCTCCCCAAGCAGCACTCACCGGCCTCCTGTCCATGGCTTTCTCTGGGTCTCTCTCAAAGCAGCTCCCCACCTGAGTCCCTCTCAGTTCACAGCAGTCTCTTCCTGATCTATTATGCAACTAGACCTTCCTGTTCTGATCTCTAGTCAGCCCTCTCCTCCCTTCTCAGCATGAGGGAGGAGGCCTGAGAGCTGCTCACCTTCCTCCAGGTACAACACGGGCCTGCTCGCCCCGGAGGAATGCCGTCACACCGCTTTACATAGTTTCAGTTTTTTATTGTTATGCCGTTCAGATGTCATCTCTTTTTAAAGAAAGTCGGTGGTGTCTGTTTTCCTGCACGCAGGGGACGTCATTCCCAGAACACACTTAACCCCTTCCTGAAGGCCATACACATATATGACGCAGCACCGAGTGGGCCTTATTCTGTGCCGCCACATATATGCGTCTCTGCATGTGTCAAGAGCTTTGTCACCACGAACTCCCGATTACGGGGTGCGATCACGGAGCGGAAGCATGTGCCCCTGATCATGTGATCACTGTGATAGCCAATCAGCCCATGAAGGCAAAATGCGCACTATTGTTTCTGGGCCCCGCTACGGGTACAAACAACAAATAACGCACACGTATGTGGTATCACTATGAGCTCCCGGTCACAGGGTGCGATCGCGGAGCAGTAGGATGGGCTCCTGATCATGTGATCACTGTGACAGCCAATCATCTCATGAAGATAAAATGCGCACCATTGTTTCTGGGCCCCACTACGGGTGCAAGCAACAATTAATGCACACGTATGTTGTTTTACTATGGGCTCCCGGTCACAAGGTGCGATTGCGGGGCAGTAGGATGGGCTCCTGATCATGTGATCACTGTGACAGCCAATCAGCTCATGAAGGCAAAATGCGCTATATTGTGTCTGCACCCCACTACGGGTACAGACAACATTAACGCACGCGTATGTGGTATCACCCTGCACGTCAGAAGTTACACAGTGGCCAGGGCACAGAGCACAGCGACGCAGGTTGCTTCTGACATTTTTGTCACAAAAGTGTTGCTTTGAGGACCAGTTTGCACCACAAAGACTGCGTTCCAGAGCGTTCGGCCTCTGGAACGCACGGGGATGCAAGGCGGCCAGCTCCCTGCATTCAGGGGCGGGAGGGGGCGTGGCGGTCCATTGAAGTCAATGGCACCGCAGCCACGCACTCTGCATTATGTGGGGCGCATTACATGGAGCGCATTACATGGGGGACATTACATGGGGGACATTACATGGGGCTCATTACATGGGGGACATTACATGGGGCTCATTACATGGGGCACAGTACATGGGGAACATTACATGGGGCTCATTACATGGGGCGTATTACATGGAGCGCATTACATGAGGGACATTACATGGGGGACATTACATGGGGCTCATTACCTGGGGGACATTACATGGGGCTCATTACATGGGGCACAGTACATGGGGAAAATTACATGGGGCTCATTATATGGGGCGTTGGCGCATTACTCGGGGGACACATTAAATGGGGCTCATTACATAGGGCTCATATCCTCACCTGCATTCAAGGCCAATTCACAGCAGTGCCGTATGCTAATCACATGTGTTCATGCGATTAACACATGGTACCATGCAACACACCTACTGTGCGTTAACAGTGTGGGCAGTGGCGTATTTTGGTTTTGTGCTGCCCTAGGCAAGACTAAACCCTAGCCCCCCCCCCCCCCCCCCCC